ATATTCCTGGCTTCAAATTCCATCCCCACCCCTTACCTGCTGTGCAGTTATAAGCAAGTCACTTTACCTCTCTGAACCTCAATTCCTCCATACTGTGCATCACATCCACCCCCCACAGGATTCCTGCAGAGAAAAGAGGGGTGTGAAGTAAAGTACCCAGAACACCGACCGCCCTAAGGCCTCAGTGAATTGGCTGTTTACTGCTACTATTATCATTATCTTATAATAATGGGGGATATTGTGGTGCAGAAGGGTTAGGACTGGGATTAAACTTCAAAGGTTAAAATCCCACCTCTGTGTGACTTTGGGCAGACAACTCAATGTCTGTCTGGTGTTTCAGTTTCCTCATCTTAAAATGAGGAGAAAGATAGATACAATGGTATCAATTCTTTTGGGCTAGGCTGAGTGTTCAAAGGGTTCATATGTGTGATGTCCCTGTAAAATGCTTGGCACTCACTGGACTTCAATTATTACTATCATGATGCAACTTTGATTCGTGAAATCCCAAAAGCTCTCATCTTGGAGCAGAGAACAGAGGATCTTGGTGAGAGGAGGGATCCTCAGGATTTCCCAGCAAAGAAATTTCCTCTCTGGGGATCTGCTGCTTGCTTAATCCCAGTGACAGGGAGCTCCCTCCCTACAAAGAACACCATGATGAGATGGATCAGTTGGTAGACAGCTTTCATACATTCAGGAATTCTCTTGTTTCCCAAAGATACCCCCCCATTAATCCCTGCTCCACGTTGTCAAGAGGTCAACCTCTGTCCAGACTTTGAAAATAGGGGTGGGTGTGAAGGAAATCATAGGGTTGAGCCTTTTGGGCAATTGGTTCTTGGAGGTGGGGCTGCCTTCTTGGCTCTCCCCAAGAAGAGGAGAGGACCCTATAGACCCCAGGGCTTGGCCAGCATGGGGCTTGGGGTGTGTTTTGCTGAATTCCTGGCCCTACTCTTATCATGGGGCTTCCCTAGTGGCTCAGACGGTAAAGAATCTGTCTACAATGCAGGAGACCCCGGCACTATCCCTGGGTGAGGAAGATCCCCTGGAGAAGGAAATGGCAACCCACTCCAGTATTCTTGTCTGGGCAATCTCATGGACAGGGGAGCCTGATGGTCTACAGTCCACGGAGTCACAAAAGAGTCAGACACGACTGAGACACTAACATACATACCCTTATCGTAGACAAGTCTGGTGTGTGGGGTGAGGGTAACCAGGGCTGGAATCTCTGAGAAGAGGCTCACTCAGTGTGGGCATTGGCTGGGCTGAGAGTTCCCTGGGAGGGTCGCTCTAGGACTAGGACACAGCAAACCAGACCCCCAACCCCCAACTGAAATGTGCTCCACAGCCTCTTCACCATTGGATCCAGCCCCAGATTATCTCAGAAAGGTGAGACTATTTTAAGGTTCCTTTCAGGGCAAGGAAGGCAAGGGCCTGTGGTCCTTCCCATAGGCCCTAGGAGAAATTTTTGGAAAAGATGCAAATTCCAGGTAGTTGTATCCAAGTGGTTAGCACACAGTTCACAGTGCCTCTAATGTTCCACTGTGTGACCCTGGGCGAGTTGCTTCCCCTCTTGGTACTGCAACCCCTCATCTGCAGAATAAGGATGATGCTAACAGCTCCTTTGTGGGATTGTTGTGAGGATTAAATGAATCAATATTGAGAATAAGCTTATTAGCATTAAAAACTAGGGAGATTTAGGGACTTCCCTGGTGGTCCGGTGGTTAAAACCCCATGCTTCCAATGCCAGGGGCCTGAGTTTGATCTCTGGTCAGGGAACCAAGATCCCACATTCTGTGCAGTGTGGCAAATAATAATAATAAAACAAAAATCTAGGGAGCTTTATTAACATCATTAGAGGTCTGTATTCATTGGGAACTGTATTGTTAGGGTTACCGAAATAATGTGCTTAAAAAACAGAAATGTATTTTCTCACAGTCCTAGAGGCCAGAAGTCTGAGATCAAGGTGTTGTTGGCAGGGCTATCTCCTTCTGAGGCTGTGACAGGGTATCTGATCCAAATCTCCCAGCTTCCAGTGGTGCTGGAAATTCTTGCTGTTCTTTGGCTTGTCAATATATCATCCAGATTTCTGCCTTCATTCTCACATGTCATTCTCCCTGTGTGCCTGTCTCTGGATCAAAGTTTTCCCCTTTTATAAGGGTACCAGTCCTATTGGATTAGGGTCCACCCTACTTCCAGTATGACCTCACCTTAGCTATTATATCTGCAATGAAATAAGATCACGTTCTGGGGTCCTGGAGATTAGGAGAATGAGTTGAGTTGATGGAGAAGGGAAACAATTCAGCCCTAATAGAAATTGAAAGTCAAGGCTCTGTTTATCAAGAAATGTGTAAATATGACACATTTTCACCAGTTAGAAAAAGAAGCTAAGAGGCTGGAAAGAGATAGGGCCAAGAAAACAAGGAGACCTTTCAGTACCAGGGACAGCAGCTCGCATGTTTTTCTTTTCTTTTTCTTATTTTGGTTGCTGTTTTTTTCCCTCTATCTGGCTGCAAGCCTTCCAGACAGACCCACAGGCCGGTGGAAGGTTGTTCAGGGGTTATACCTACCCTTCTAGAGCCAGCACACTCTATCTTCTGCATATAGGGCTTCAAGGCAAGAAAAGACCCAAAGAGAAAGGGCTTTGCCCCTCTTTTATACCTCCCAATTTCTTTCCAGCCATGCCTAATGTCTCTCAGGCCTTATGGCTATTTTCTTAGTGCCTCTGCATTTCTTGAAGACCCTGGAGATTCAATTCAGAAAATAGAAACTCCAAAAAAAAAAGAAAAAAAGAAAAAAAAAAAAACAGGAAGACATGTATTGGGAGAAGATATGGGCATTAAATATAACTGAAAAAGGATAAGCACACACAATATATAAAGAGGGCATGTTTGTAATATCTCCCATTACAAATTTTTATTCTGGTAAAATATGCATAGCAAAATCTGCCATTTTGACTATTTCTAAGTCCACAGCTCAGTGGTACTGAGCACATTCATATCGTTGTACAACCATCCCCACCATCCAGAACTTTCTCATCTTCCCAAACTGAAACTCTGTCCTCATGAAACACTGACTTCCCATCCCCTCCCCCAGCCCCTGGCCCCACCATCTACTTCCTTCTCTCTGTGGATCTGACTCCTCTAGGACCTCGTTTGAGTGGAATCATACTGTATTTGTCCTTCTGTGTCTGGCTTATTTCATTGAGCATCATGTCTGCAGGGTTCATTCATGTTGTAGCAGGTGTCAGAATCTCCTTTCTTTGTGGTCCTTGTATAGATGGACAGCGTTTTGTTATCCATTCATCTGTTGATGGGTATTTGGGTTGTTTCCACCTTTTGGCTGTCCTCAATAATGCTGCCACGAGCACGAGTGTGCAAATATCTTTTCGAGTCCCTGCTTTCAATTCTTTGGGGATATATACCCAGAAGTGGAATTGCTGGATCATATGGTAATTCTATGTTTAACTTTTTTGAGGAACTGCCAAACTGTTCTCCACAGCAGCTGCACCATTTTTACATTCCCAACACAATTTTTTAAAAAATGAATGTTAGAAGCTGTCCTCAGCTCTGCCTGGTGCCCCTTCCCCAGGACCCCAGGGCACCTCTCGGGCCTGGGTCAGAGACTCCTCCCCACCACCAGGCCCAGCTGGTGGGAGCAGCCGGTGAAGTGAGCGCAGCCCAGCAGGACGCAGCTTTAATTAACTCCAGCCTGGGGTGAAAGCGATGCCCCCAGGGCCTCTGCACAGGGAGTCCCCGTCGGGGGAAGCTGAGAGACCATGGGAAGGGACCTGGGGGTGGAGGACCCAGGACTCGACAGCATCAGAGTAGCCAACGATGGTGTCATTTCAGTCCGTGAAAGTGAGGCCCCCTGGGGTTAGAGAGGCAAACCCAGCTCTGAGGCCTGGATCCCTGTGTCCATCCCAAAGAATCTGCCTGCATCTCCCACCCCGCAAAATATTTTAAAATAGCTTTAATCTCATTGGCCTTTCTCTGGGCGCCTCCCTCTGCTCAGTTCTCTTCCGTCTGTCTTTCAACCTTTCTTGTCTCTATGGCTCTCATGCCTCGCACCCTCTGCCCCCACTCAGGACGTCTTCCAATCACACCCCGGCTCTGGACCACTTTAGGGCCGGCCCCGCCCCTTGCCTCTTCTGATTGGTCCTTCCATTTGGCGCCACGCCTCACCCCTCTAGCTCCGCCCCCGCATCTAGGTTGGTCCATTCCACTGCACCCTCCGAGCATCTGTTCTGATGGGGAAAACTGAGGCGCCCACACAGGTGCAGCGGGCCATCCAAGGCCACAGAGTTGGTTAGTGGCAGAGTCACTGTGCTCCTCACTCCAGTGTTGAGGCCTCTTCTGGTTCCTTGGGGCTGCTAGTGCCCCTCATCATCCTCCTCCCTGGGGCGGCAGCTCTGCCCCTTCCCCCTTCCCCCACCTCACCCCGCTTTTTAGCATCAGCCACCGATTTGATTAACAACTGATTCGCCTCTCCGCCTTTCCTGTCTCACCCTTTGGGAAGTGTGGGAATGGGAGGGGAGAGCTGAGCTACTCTTAACTGCCCCACCACAAACGGGGCTCCAACCTCCTTGTCTCTATTTTTAAAATTATAGTGAAATACACATAATTTAAATTTACCACCTTAATCACTCTTCCTTCTTTTATTTCCTAAGTTTTTTAAATTGTGGTTGAATACAATAACAGAAAGTTTGCCATTTTAACCATTTTTGAGTGCAGAAATTAGTGACTTTAAGTACACTCGCATTGTTGTGTGAACATCTCCACCATCCATCTCCAGAACTTTCTTATCTTCCCAAACTGAAACTCTGTCCCCATTAAACACTGACTCCGCATCCCCTTCCTCAGCCCCTGGCCCCCACCATCTGCTTTCTGTCTCTGTGGATCTGACTCCTCTATGGATCTCCTGTGAGTGGTTCACAGTGGAACTTCCTGTGAACATGGATGCACAGCCTCCTTTTCTCCTAACACCTCTATTTCTCTCCCCTCCAGGCTGTGCCTTTCTCACCTACTGTGCCAGGGACTCCGCCATCAAAGCTCAGACTGCCCTGCACGAACAGAAGACCTTGCCCGGGGTGAGTGCTGGATGCTGCTGGGAAGTGAAGGGGCAGATGGAGGGGATGCTGTCAGTTTGGGGAAGGCTAAGGTCCTTCCTGGGATCAGCTGTGAAGCTCATCTGCCTCTGAATTCAGAAAGAGACGAATGGAGCAGAGACACAGAAATCATCACCCGGATGGGCATTTCTTGTGTGTTAACTGCATCCCAGGCTGTACACGTCATGTCAGGGTGATTGTGGAGGTTGCACACTGCATGGGGGTACCTGACTTCACATGAGAGTGTCATTGGAGGATGAGGAAGCATTAGCAGGCAGAGGGACAGCAGGGGCAAAGGTCCAGGGGCAGGATGGTGCCTGGTGTGTTGAAGAAACAGCCAGGAGGGCCGTGTTCCTGGAGCAGAGAGAGCGAGGGGGAGAGAGGGAGGAGGGGAGGGCAAGGAGGGGGTGGAGGCAGATGTTCAGGGCCTTGTGGGCCTCAGGGAGGAGACTGGACCCTACTTACCTCTCACCATAAGAAGGGAGGGGATTTTCTTTCCTCTTGTCCTTATGGAGCAAGTAAAGCTATGGCTCCTTATGTGATATTTCCTCCCCAGGGGAGGCTGGCCCAGGCTCTGGGCCTGCTGGTTCTCTCCTGTCAGCCCTGTCCTCTTTGGGTGGGCAGGAGGTCCCTGCCCTCAGGAAAGGACGGAAGGTCCCCCTCAGCCTGCCAAGCCAGGTCTCCAGTGAGATCTGTAGCACCCCACCCCATGAGTTTGGGGGCAGGAGGTATCACCCTTCCCTCTAGAAATCTCAGGGACCCTTCAGTATCAAGGGGCTTCAGAGGATGCTAGGGTGGCATCTTGCCATTCCTACTGGGAGCATGGATGCCACACAGCTGAGAGTGGACAATCTGGGGTTCACTTGCCAAGAACAAGAAGCTGTGGCATGAGTTTGACTCAACTCTGAGCAAGCATCCAAATATTTGGGGGGTGGCCTCAACCTTACCTTGCAGAGCAAAGAGCCCCTCTTTATTATTTTTTTTCCATTTATTTTTATTAGTTGGAGGCTAATTACTTTACATCATTGCAGTGGTTTTTGTCAGACATTGAAATGAATTAGCTATGGATTTACAAAAGAGCCCCTCTTTAAAAGATGAAGTAGCAGAAGCAAGAGCATACACTATGGCAGCCACATCAGTGGGCTCCTTGTTTAGTTTCCACCTGTTGTTGCCATGTGACAATGAACCAGTGACTCAACCTCTCTGATCTTCAGCACCAGAAGAGTATAATGCGGTGGGGTGGAGGGAAGAGTGTTGAGGAGGTCACTGAGGGCTTCACTGAGGAAGTGGCATTTGGGAAGAGACTTGAAAGGTGAGGAGGAAGGACATGCTAGGAGAGGGGACAGGATATGCAAAGGTGAACAAACACCACCTGGAATTCACTCTTCTCTCTCACTTGGACCTTCTGCCAACACCTCCCCAAACCAACAGGAAACTGGAGGGCAGGTCCGTCCGTAGCACCCAGGGTCACAGTGGAGTTCTGTAGATTCTATTTGTTATCTCCCAATGTGTCACAAATTACTCTTCAGGGACTCCCCTGGCGGTCCAGTGCTTAAGACTCCACACTTCCACTTCAGGGGGCACAGGTTCGGTCCCTGGTTGGGAAACTAGGATCCTGCATGCCTCACTGGATGGCCAAGATTTTTATTTATAAAAATAAATAACAAAAAATAAAAAAAATTAAAAATTACTCCTTAACTTAATGGCTTCAAACAATCAGCATTCATTGTCTCACAGCTGCCAGGGGTCAGGAACTGGGGCATGAGTTGTCTGCATGGTTCTGGCTCTGGTCTCTCCTGAGGTTGCAGTGGAGTCATCAGCCAGAGCTGAATGTGGCTGGCAAATCTGGCCCAGTGCATGGCTATTGGCTGGAGGCCTCAGTTCCTCTCTGTGGGCATCTCCCCAGTGCTTGCTACTTGAGGGACCTCACAGCATGGCGACTGGCTTCCCGCAGGGCATGTTATCTGAGAGTGAGCCAGGAGCAAGCCACAGGATCTTTTTTTTAAAAAAAAATTATGTATTTATCTATTTATTTGGCTGCACTGGGTCTTAGTTGCAACATGCAGGATCTTTAGTTGCAGCCTGTGGGATCTAGTTCTCTGACCAGGGATAGAACCTGGGACCCCTGCATTGGAGTATGGAGTCTGAGCAACTGGACCATTAGGGAAGTCCCAGGCTCAGGACTCTTTGTCCTCCTCTCTCTGCTTACTCTCCTAGCACAATCCAATTCTTTCATCCATATCTATCCTGCCAGCCAGCCAGCAACCTTTTACTAAGCACCTATTTCATAGGCCTGATGCTGCACTTCTCTCACCAGTTCTGTGTACAGAAGATGCCTCTTGGTGACTCCTTCAGGCACCCTATACCCAGCAGAGCTCAAACTGCCCACAGCATCCCCTTTGAACCAGTTTTTCCTCCCTTCCCCTTGCCCCACCCCAGCTTCTCATGGTCACTGGCAATCCTTGGCCTGTAATCCTTCCAATTCCTGCGTCTGTTGTCAGGTGGCCTTCTCCTCCATGTCTACATCTCTGCCATCTCCACCGCCTTTCTCTTATGAGGACACCAGTCCAATCCTGGATGACCTTGTGCATAGATCTGTCACTTAATTACATCTATAAAGATATCATTTCCAAATAAGGTCTCACTCATAGATTGCAGGGGTTAGGTATTGGACACGTTTTTGGGGAGGACAGCCATTCACTTCACTGCAGGGGTGACCACAAAATGAATAGCTGGATGGAAGGGTGACCGGGGAACAGCATCTCAAGGGAGAACCAGGTGACCTGTGGTGATGACCTCATGGAGGGCAAATAGGGCAGCTTTCTGGAGGGGGAAGCATTGGAGCCTAGTCTTGAGTGATGGGGAGGGTGGTGGCAGATGGGGGTGAGCACAGAGCGTACTGAGGCATGGAGGCAGGAGTGTGCCTGGCAAGCTGAGTGTGGGAACGCACGAGAACCGAATGGAAGTTTACTGCCCCCAGGGACACTGGGCAATGTCTGAGGACATTTGTGGTCATCATGACCATGGCATCTCGCGAGTAGAGGTCAGGGCTGCTGTTCCACACCCTACAGTGCACAGGACAGCCCCCACCCCCAATAGAAAATTATCCAGGCCCAAATCAGCAGTGCTAAGGTTGAGGAACCCTGTTTAGGAGAATAAGGAGCTGGTGAATGTTCTAGAACAGTGCTAAGAGAAATATATAGAATGCATACCACATACAGCATTTAGATTTTTCTAGGAGCAGCGTTTAAAGGTTAGAAAGAAACAGGTGAGATGAGTTTTAATGCTTTCTTTTATTCTAATGCAGTCTCAAAAATCCTATCAAGAGGCTGTCAGTAGGGCCCACGTAAAACTTACTAATGAGATAGTTCACATTCTTTTTATTTCATCCTAAGTGTTTGAAAATCTGGTGTGTGTCTTGCACACCCTCAATCCCTCTCAACCAGAACACTTAGTGGTTATCAGAGATGCTCAGTGTGGAGTTGCATTTTATAAAATTGACTACTGAAAAAGTAGATTCCTTTGCTCAAGTTGTTGTAAACCTACTCAGAGCTTTTCCAAGAATGGAGTCAGTTTTTAGACTTTTTTGTAAAGGATCAGAGAACAAATGTTTTCAGCTTTGCCAGCCATACAGCCTCTGTTGCATCTGTTGAAAGCACAAGACAATCACAATGACTGTGGCTAAGTGCCAATAAAACTTTATTGACAAAAACTGGCTGGGGTGGGGTGCAGAAAAGGGCTGTGGTTTGCCCATCCCCATATTGGGCTATCACCATCCAATAGAATTTACTGGATGTTCCATCTCCACTGTCCAGTAGGGTGGACACTTGCTCCGTTTGGCTATGGAGCCTTTGAAAAGGGGTGAGTGTGACACAGGGACTGAATTTTTAACGTTATTTAACTTTAATAGATGTAAATTTAAACTTCCACTGGCTACATGGGGCTAGAGGCTACCATCCTGAACACTGCAAAATCTAGAATGTTCTAGATCAGGGATCAGCCACCACGTTAGACAGTGCAGATCTAGAATATTCTAGACTCTTCGACTGTGTAGACCTAGAATGTTCTAGACCCAGGAGCATGGTGCAACGTCATTATACGTCTAGGTTAGGGAGCTGTCTGTCTCTCTTTGACACCAGCTCACAGCTGAGAAGGGTTAGGGGCCTCAAGCCACCTCTTCTCTCGGGGCCGTTTCACGGGTGTTATCATTGTCTGCTGGCACTCTGGGGGCACCTCATCCAGCTGCCATGTCAGCAGGGCCCTGGGTCTGCTCTGGCCCCGTGTGACAGGCACGGGGACTGTGGTGAGAGAGCAGGGGACTTGTCCCAGGTCACCCAGCAGGGTGAGCACTATGGCTCCACCCACCCTCCTTCACAGACCTTGAACCTGTGGCTTCTCTGGTTGAGTTTCCTGTAAGCTGCCCGCTGCTCCCTGGAGGTGAGGAGGCTCAGAGCTGGATCCTGGGAACGGAGGGGCTTGGCTTAAATTTTTTCCTTAAAATTTGAAAACTACTGCACATTTACTGAAAAGTGCATGCAACCCAACTGACTATAAAGCAAGCACCCCGTTACCGCTGTGCACCCGGAAACCACCCCAACCCATGTCCCCAAGCCCAAGCCCCTCTCCTCTCACTGGAGGAGCCACTGGTCTGACTTTTATGGCAATCACCCCTTCCTTTTCTTCTGTTACCATGAGAATGAGATTCAATATCATGCCTTGTAGCTTTGTGCCTTGTCACTGCTGTGTGGTATTCCACAGCCTGGATGCACCATTTATTCATCCATCCTCCTGCTGGTGGACATGTGAGTTGTTTCTAGTTTTACTGTTAAGGCACAGAGATCCTTGCCAGTATTTTGCTCTGGGTGGATACATGCCACATTTGGGCCAGTCTCATACACAGGAGTTCGGGATCCCTGAATATGTGTGTCTTCCAAATCTGATGAGAGAAGGGGTTGATTTTGGGGGTGAGCCTCCCTCCACAA